CTCTCTCTCTCTTTCTCTCTCTCGCAGCCACCGCTCCCTCGGACTCACGTCATTGCAGTTGAAGGCGACGTGACCGAAGCCATCGCGCTCCTGAGCCTCGTCAGGGGAAGCCAGCGACTCGGCTGCTACCTGGTTGCCAGGGTGATACTTGAACGCCTCGTCCGTCTCGGTCCCGTAGTTGTGCGTCAGCTCCAACGTGGTTCCTTTCATCGTCCACAGGTATCGATGCGCAGCATCCGACCCTGAAGGTCAGCCGCAGTCATCCTCTTATTTCTCCTCGCTCGCTCCCTCCTCGTGTGTCTCCGGCTCACCGGGCTCAAGCTCGTACTTCTCGTTGGCGGGGAGGGTGGAGAGGAAGTAGAGGTCGAACTTCATGTCGGGGAACTGCTGTCGGGTCACGCTCCTTCTCCTCCGTCTTCCCATGCCTGCAGCTTGTCGATCAGCGTCATGCCCATCGTGTCGCGGTAGAAGGATAGCGACTTGACCGGATCCTTGACCCTGATAGTGTCGTCAGAGAAGGTGGGGGAGCGGAGGAGGAGGAGGACCTGAGCATAGTCTGCTGCCATGAAAATTTCTGCTTCTGTAGGATCGCATGTGGGTCTGACATGGTCAAGAAAGCACACGAGCCTTGAAGGCCTGAACACAAAAAGCATCAGCTGAAACATTCCTCTCCTCTCCTCTCCTCTCCTCTCCTCTCCCTAGCCTCCAGCCCCAAACCTCCACAGTCTCCTTTCCATCTCTTTATCTTCCTCTGCCTCTCTGTGCTGTCCTTCTCCTCCCCCTCTACCCCTCTCCTCTTCATCGCGCGCTCTCTCTCCCTCTCTTCTTCTTCACCGAGCAGCAGCAGCAGCAGCAGGCGCGCGAGCATGGCGAACCTTCGCTAGACCTTCCAAGGAAACAGGGCAAATAAAACGAAATTCACCTTTTTATGAGAAACTTTCAGAAAGTTTAGCTGTTGTACCCGGCGATGCCGTGATCCTCACGTCCCCAATTTTATCATCACCCTCACATCCCCTCGAGTACTCCCACCCCTCCAAATACAGTCAAAAGTACCCCTACTTGAAGGGTGTCCCTTTGACCTGTTCCTGTTCCCAGTCCCGTGTGGGGTAGGTGAACCTCAACTTATCACGATTCAATTTCTATGGGGGTAGGGGTATCCAAGTACCCCTACTTTGTAGGCAAATTCCTTTTCTGAAACGAGGGATTTTCAAAACTTGGTGGGTAGGGGTACCTCCTCCAGCCGTTCCTTGGGAACATCGAAAGGGGATTGTGGTTGAAATATAGGGGTAGGGGTATTAATGAAGGGGTACTTTGATTGCATTTACTTGCTAAAAGTAGGGGTGCATCCAGGATTTTGTTTTCGCAGGTGGGTAGGGTAAGTTTTGGACAGGGGTAGGGTACTCGTCAGTTTCGGTTCGAAAAGAGAAAATGATGGCAAGGAGAGAGAGGAAGGAGGAGCAAGGGAGACGGAGAAGGAAAGATGGACGACGAAAGCAGCTCACAGCAACATGCGAGACGAGATGGTGAAAAAACGATGAAGGGGGTGTTCGGAATGAAGTGGTTCTTCAATAGCGCACACGTTGGTTGAAATCTGAAGCAGATGAAAATTTCTTGACATGCATATGTGATCGAAATGGAGTTGTTGAAACAACCATACTCTTCGAGCACAAAAGGAAGAGTATGGTTGTTTCAGCAAAAGGAAGAGTATGGTTGTTTCAACAACTCCTTTTGATTTGTGTGTGATCCAACCACTGATTCCGTTTCATGCAGGTGGTGAGAGGATAGCAGAGTCTATAGCGCCATGTTTCCGAGTGGGATAGGGTCGTCCTTTTACGACCCTCGTCGGTCTGCGTTTGTGAAGCAGCAGACCCTCAACTTCGATCGCGGTCACAGCGCCCTCCGAGACTTCGGCCACACAACCGCCAACGTCGCTCCCTTCCCGACCGATGCTCTTGGCTCCAACCTGCGCAAGGGCCGGGGCCTTTCCTTTGCCAAGGGCATCGCAAACTTCGACGGGTTTGTGCAGGGGCAGCAGATCGGCTCGCGTCCTCCCTCTGCTGCCTCCAGCCGCCTCAATCAAAGCTCAGCGAGGAGCTACGGGATGGAGGAGGAGAGGAGGGCGAGCGAGAGGGAGGGCAACGAGGTCTCAAGCAACGTCTCTCGCCTCCACGAGCAGCGACAGGTTTTCTCCAGCAGAGGCTCTGCTGGCAGGTTCCGCCCTCACTCTGCGCCTGCTCAGCGAGCTCCAGTCACGTTCGACAGCATCCCCGCATGGGCTAAAGATCAACTTGCGTCCCCGAGCTTCGCCAAGACGGTGGAGAACCAAAAGGCTCGTCCTGCCTCGGCGAAGCAACAGCAGCCGTCGGTGCTCCCGCTGTCCAAGATCCCCAAGTGGATCTCGCTGGACAACAAGGTGCTCACTTTCGAAGCTTTCTTCCGCGAGTCCGTCGAGGACTCGCCGCTCGAGCGCTCGCGGGTGAGGCGATGTGTTCTGCACTATTTCTTGGAGGACGACACTATGCGCATCCTCGAGCCGCGGGAAGAAAACTGCGGCCTCCTGCAGGGCTCCTTCCTCAAGCGCCACAAGATCCCGAAGCAAGGAGGGGAGGGCCCGCTGACGTGGCGAGACATCCGCGTGCCCGGCGACCTGAGCATCTACCAGCGCGTGTTCCGCATCACCAAGTGCGATCAGTTGACGCGGCAGTTCTACGAGGACCTCGGGTACGCGGTGGGCGAGGAGGAGGTGCCTGTAGACCCAAAATTCTCGCGCCCCTCCTCCGCCAAGTCAAGCACGTCAGTGAAGGAGGTGAAGATGGACATGTATCATGGGAGACAGAGGAACGACATGACGGAATACATCGAAGCCAAGCTCGGAAAATGCCAGGTAGCCTCCCTCTCCCTCTCCCTCTCCCTCTCCCTCTCCCTCTCTACCACTCACACTCTGAGGTGCAGGATAAGAAGCAGCTCATCACACAATATCTCCGAAACGACAGGAAGGTGGGAAAACAACATCCCCTCCTGCTCCTCTTCAAACTGACCCACGTGGCAGGTCCTGAGATTTTATTGCCACTGGAATGATCGAAGCAACGACGGGGCGATGGAGCGAAGGCCATTCGTGCTTCATTATTTCCTTGCTGACGACACCGTCGAGGTCTTGTCCTCGTTTCTCCTTCTCCTGCTCCTCCTCCTGTTGCCGCCGCTCCCTTCATCCTCTCCTGCATGACTAGACTCTGGTGGCTGACTGGTGGGCGCAGGTGCTTGAGGTCAACACCCCCAACTCGGGGAGGGATCCGTTCCCCGCGCTGCTGAAGCGCATGAAGCTACCCAAGGGCGGGGGGAGCAGCGGGATGATGGGAGGGGACGGGAGGAAGTACGTCACGGAGAGGGACTTGCAGATAGGAGGTGTGGTGAACGTGTTCGGACGGCAGCTGGTGCTGGACTCCTGCGACGAGGCGACGAGAGACCACATGAAGCAGCAGCATGGCGTCGACCTCTCCCGCTATACCCTCTCCTCCGCCCCCTCCTCCGCCCTCCCCCGCTCGAGGGATCGACCCAAAAGTGCGTCCCACATCCCCCCGCACAACGGGTTCGGGAAGGAGGAGGACAGCCGGCAGAACTGCCTCTCCCTGCACCCGAAACCCCCGAAGGGGAACGTGACGCGCCTGCTGGAAAACAAGGGGAAGATGCTCCGCTTCGGTGAGAGATGGAGGAGAGGAAAGATGATGATGATGATGATGGTGATGGTGATGGTGATGGTGATTGTGGAGATGATGATGGAGATGATGATGTAGAGGATGGAGGAGAATGATGATGATGAGGAATGACGAGGATGCAGTGGCGAAGCTGGAGAACGCTGTTGGCTTTGACATCGAGCGGGTCTTTACCGTCACCTACTTCTTGGACACGGACGAGCTCTCCATCTTCGAGCCTCCCGTCAAGAACTCTGGCAGGACTGGCGGCAAGTTCATGGAGCGATGCAGGGTCAGGAAGCCGCACTCCTCCCTCTACTACTCCGAGGCGGACCTCTTCCTCGGGGCTCGCGTCCTTGTCTACTCCCGCGCCTTCGTGCTCGTCGATGCCGACGAGTTCTCGCTCAAGTACATGGAAGACAACAGCGACGTCTTCCCCTCCTCCGACCCCCGTCGCGTCCTCGCCAAGATCTCCTCCTCCTCCCCTTCCTCCTCCCTCGACGTCAGTCTGCGACAGCTCGACCGCGTCGGGCGAGGCCAGCTGGAGGTTGCAACGTTCAAGCGCGTCATGGCGGCTGCTGGTCTGGGGCTGAACGACCACGAGCTGCACACGCTGAGCCGACGGTTCTCAGCTGGCGATCAGCTGGTGGACTACGAGGCGATGCTGAGAGAAGTGCAGCAGCGAGAGCCTCAGGCGTTTGACCCCGCGAGCTCGCGACGAGAAGGAGGAGGATACGAAGCCGCACATGCCAACCTACAGGTAACCCTGCTGCTGCTGCTGCTGCTGCTGCTCCTGCTCCTGCTCCTGCTCCTGCTCCTCCTGCTCCTCCTGCTCCTTTACACTCTTCTGGTCTGCTGCTCTGCCTGTGCTGCGTCTGACGGGTGGGCAGCGGCTGCTGTATCGTCGAGGAGCGTCGGGGCTGCGGGGGCTGGAGCGAGCGATGTCGCACATCTCGAGGGGAACGAGGCAACTGGACCGGGAGGATCTCAACACGGTGATGGCCTACTGCGGGATCAGCATGGGAGCCGACGAGCTCGAGGAAATCTTTCGCAGACACGAGGACGGAGGTCACGTGCTGTGCGAGGACCTCAGCCGCAGCCTCCGCCCTCCTCTCACCCACCGCCAACATGAAGTGAGACCCTCGCTCCCTCCCTCCCTCCCTCCCTCGTCTCTCGTCTCTCTTCTCTCTCTCTCCCTTCCCTCTTCTCCCTCTCTCCCTCCCTCACTCCCTCCCTCCCTCCCTCCCTCTCTCTCGCTCCCTCGCTCCCTCGCTCCCTCTTCTCACTCCCTCGCTCCCTCTTCTCTCTCCCTCTCTGTCTCCCTCCCTCCCTCTCTCCCTTCCCTCTTCTTCTCACTCTTGTCTTAGGCGGTTGTCAGTCTCTTCGAGTCCCTTGAGGACCCGACGTTCCGCACGGGAGCGATCGAGCTGGAGGAGCTGCTGGGCAGATACCGGGCTGCTCGACACCCTAAGGTGGTGAGCGGAGAAATGTCGGAGGGCGAAGCGATGAGGTAAGGGGAGAGGGAGGAGGAGGTGGAGGAGGTGCAGCAGCAGCAGCAGCAGCAGCAGCAGGAGGAGGAGGAGGAGCAGCAGGAGGAGGAGGAGGAGGTCCATGACAGTATCCCAGGGATCTTGAAGATGCGATGGAGGAGGTTAGAGGAGCTGTCATGGTCAAGGACCTTCTCCTCTATTACGCTGATGTGGTGGCTGGATACCAACTTAACGACGAGGTTCCCTCCTCCCTCCTCCCTCCTCCCTGCTGCTGCTGCTGCTGCTGCTTTCTTCTGATCCTCCTCCTCTCTCCTCTCTCACTGACTTACCTTGCAGGAGCTCGTGGAACTTCTTCGAGCCACGTGGGGATTCAACGTTTAACGATAGAAACAAATAAAGTGAAGATGAAGAAGAGGGAGGAGGGGTGGTCTGGGTGGAGGGTCAGGAGGGTCGGGGGGTGAGGGGGTCGAAGAGGAGGAGGGAGCGGAGGAGGGCGAGGCGAGTGGACTCGTGGAGGAGGAGGGCGTGAGAGTCGACGAGGATCACCCCCTCCTCCATCACCGCTGACCTCGCGCGCGATGCCAACCGTGAGTCCGCGGGCCTGAGAAGCTCTCAGAGGGGAAGGAAGGAGAGGAGGAGAAGGGGGCAGGGTTGATCCTCACATGCCGATATGAAGCGACGTTGGACGAGGAGATCGGAGGAGGAGAGGTCAACCAAGATGTTCTGCTGCAGGTCAACCTCCTCCTCCCTCATCAGCCTCCACTCCATCTCCTCCATCGCAGCTGCACAGCTCTCCTCCCAGCTTGCCCCCAGCTGGACTCTCGTCTCCTGAACAGCCGAGGCGACGCCCTGGAAGGCCTCGAGGAAGACGAACTTGCTGTCGAGGAGGAGGAGCGACACCGACGAGTCCCTGCAGTCGCTGGGGAGGAGCTGGGGTTGACTACGAGCATGTTCCTTGCTCACGGCCTGCTGGGCGAGGCTCGTCCAGGGGACCTTGATGAGGACGCGCCCACATCCGTCGCGAGGCGTCGAGAGTTGAGAGCTGCTGTCCTTCCTCCTCCTCCTCTCTCCCGCCTCCTCCTCCGGCAGCGGGACGTTCCTTCTCCCCGAGAAATAGCAGTGTCCGTTCTCCATGATGATCTGCGTCTGATGATCCCCCAGGTCCGTCCTGCTCCTCCCGTTCCTTCGAGCTCCCTTTCTCACCTCCACGTCCTTGCTGCCCCTCCTGCCCCCGCTCCCTCCCTCCCTCCTCCCTCCCTCTCCTCCCTCTCCTCGATGGATCACCGGGAGGCTGCGGGGCTCGGGGGGGAGGACGAAGACGGAGTGAGGAGCAGATTTGTGCTCGCCCTTCTCGAGGATCGACAGAATCTTTCCCAGCTGCGACTTCACCTGCTCCTCCTCTTCCACCATCCTATCCAGTCGCTGCTGCATGCTCGAGATTTTCCTCTCCAAGTTCATGCAGCAGTTCTTTGACTTCTCCTCCTTCTCCTTCGCCTCCTCTTGCTCCTCCTGCTCCTCCTGCGGATCGAAGACCGCGCTCTTCCATGCGGCAAAGGAGGTGCACATGCTTGACTTGAAGAGCTTGTCAAGGATCTGCTTTCTCGTCTTCGTCTGCTTCATCGCGCTCGCTCCCACGTCCTTCTTCTCCATCTGATCCACGAACGAGATGAGCATCTTGACGGCGAAGATAAGCTGCTGTAAGTTCTGAATAGACCGCTTCCTTCCATCGATCTCATCCTTGCTGATGAACGAGCAGCGGAAGAACTTCTCCGACTGTCCTGGACTTCAGAAATGTGGAGAAGACGCAGGAGCATGGGAATGAGCTGGTGGACGGGGAGAAGAGGAGGTGGTGGAGGAAGAGGAGCAATGCAACATGACAAGCAGTGGACAACCTGAACAGTCTGACCATCTTGAAGACTCGGACAAGACGGAGAACGTTGATCGCAGGGATCTGGTCAAAGATGACCGAAGCCAGCGCGAGAATGACGACAACAAAATCTGCGGGGGGGGCAGGGAGAGGGTCAGGAGGAGAGCTTTGTCGTCGCCTACTCACCGAACACATTCCATCCGTCCCGGAAGAATTTGTTGAACCAGTGCCCGAAAAGGTTAACGACCAGCTCCTGCTTCCACGCTCAGCTGGGGTCAAGGTCGGCAAGTAAGCGAGCAGCACCAGAGTGAAGACGGCTGTGACGGCGAGCTCAATGATCCTGAAGTTTCTGTCCATGTCGCTTCCGCTCTCCGGCAGCAGCTGCGCGTTTGCCAGGGAAGCGACGTAGGAGAAGAAGATGACGAGGCCGATGGCGAGCTGGAAGCCGAAGCTCTCGTACAGCTCCCGCGCCAACCTCCTTTCCCGCGCCAACATCCCCACGTCTCCCTTCGCCAGCTCAATCCTCTCTGCCACCTTCTTCGCGTGCTCGATCCCAGCCAGCCACTTTTCCAGCTCCTGCTTGTCGCCAGCTCGCAGCACGGTTGGCCTCCCAGAGTTTCGCCCGTTGGGGATGGTGTAGACGGTGAAAACGTTAGGCTCCTCCTCCTCGTCCTCCTCCTCGTCGTCGCCCGCGAAGTAGATCTGGTCGGAGAACTGCATGTCAGCCTTCTTCAACTTCTTCGAACGTCGCCCGTCGCGCTCTTGTTGCTTGAGACTCCCTTGGTCGTCGTGCCGCTTCCTGACATTGTGCACTACCGACTTGACCTCGACGAGGGGGATGAAGTCGATCAGCAGGTCCGTGTCTGCCTTGCCGAAGTTGATCCGCGTCTGGGAGAGCATAACCCTCCTCTTCTGCCACGTCACTCCCACAGGACTGAGCGACGAGGCCTGTCAGCAACGCAAGAGGAACAGCAGCGAGTGATTCACCTCACTACTTGTCGTCCCAACTCCGACACGAGGCTGCACTCGCTCGCTTGCGGCAGCTTGGCGGCGCTCTCGTCGTTTTCCTCGTTCTTCTTAACATGACCATGTCGGATCCCCATCATCACAGCCGCCATGATGCAGCCCCTGCTCGCCGGTAGCAGCTCGGGCCTTTGCTTTGGTTTTCCTGATCATCGAATCATGCAGGAGGTCAGTTAAGATTCAGAGAAGAGTCTTCAAGCTGCTGCCCTTGTACCCTTGGGAAGTCATGGCAATCATGGCAACAGCATCCATAACATACAAACGATGCAAGTGTCACACGAGTGAAACCTCAAGTGCTTCTCTCGGGCAGATTCTCTTCTAAATCAGGACTGCTCATGACTGCTCATCTTCCTCTTGGTCTTCTTGTTTACCGTGCATCCTGCTTCTTCGCCGAGTCTCCTGCCTGCCTGCCTGCCTGCCTGC